AAACACGAGGAAAATAAATCTTCATCAGAGTACAAAACAAATTCTGGCCATAAAATAGAGCGAAACACCAACGTCAAAGACCTGGGAGTGATCATGTCGGAGGATCTCACCTTCAAGGACCATAACATTGTATCAATCGCATCTGCTAGAAAAATGACAGGATGGATAATGAGAACCTTCAAAACTAGGGAGGCCAAGCCCATGATGTCACTCTTCAGGTCACTTGTTCTATCTAGGCTGGAATATTGCTGCACACTAACAGCACCTTTCAAGGCAGGTGAAATTGCTGACCTAGAAAATGTACAGAGAACCTTCACGGCGCGCATAATGGAGATAAAACACCTCAATTACTGGGAGCACTTGAGGTTCCTGAACCTGTATTCCCTGGAACGCAGGAGGGAGAGATACATGATTATATACACCTGGAAAATCCTAGAGGGACTAGTACCGAACTTGCACACGAAAATCACTCACTACGAAAGCAAAAGACTTGGCAGACGATGCAACATCCCCCCAATGAAAAGCAGGGGTGTCACTAGCACGTTAAGAGACCATACAATAAGTGTCAGGGGCCCGAGACTGTTCAACTGCCTCCCAGCATACATAAGGGGGATTACCAACAGACCCCTGGCAGTCTTCAAGCTGGCACTGGACAAGCACCTAAAGTCGGTTCCTGACCAGCCGGGCTGTGGCTCGTACGTTGGTTTGCGTGCAGCCAGCAGCAACAGCCTGGTTGATCAGGCTCTGATCCACCAGGAGGCCTGGTCACAGACCGGGCCGCGGGGGCGTTGACCCCTGGAACTCTCTCCAGGTAAACTCCAGTGCCAGCTTGAAGACTGCCAGGGGTTTACCTGGAGTTTACCTGGAGAGAGTTCCGGGGGTCAACGCCCCCGCGGCCCGGTCTGTGACCAGGTCTGTTGGTAATCCCCCTTATGTATGCTGGGAGGCAGTTGAACAGTCTCGGGCCCCTGACACTTATTGTATGGTCTCTTAACGTGCTAGTGACACCCCTGCTTTTCATTGGGGGGATGGTGCATCGTCTGCCAAGTCTGTTGCTTTCGTAGTGAGTGATTTTCGTGTGCAAGTTCGGTACTAGTCCCTCTAGGATTTTCCAGGTGTATATAATCATGTATCTCTCCCTCCTGCGTTCCAGGGAATACAGGTTTAGGAACCTCAAGCGCTCCCAGTAATTGAGGTGTTTTATCTCCGTTATGCACGCCGTGAAGGTTCTCTGTACATTTTCTAGGTCGGCAATTTCACCTGCCTTGAAAGGTGCTGTTAGTGTGCAGCAATATTCCAGCCTAGATAGAACAAGTGACCTGAAGAGTGTCATCATGGGCTTGGCCTCCCTAGTTTTGAAGGTTCTCATTATCCATCCTGTCATTTTTCTAGCAGATGCGATTGATACAATGTTATGGTCCTTGAAGGTGAGATCCTCCGACATGATCACTCCCAGGTCTTTGACGTTGGTGTTTCGCTCTATTTTGTGGCCAGAATTTGTTTTATACTCTGATGAAGATTTAATTTCCTCATGTTTACCATATCTGAGTAATTGAAATTTCTCATCGTTGAACTTCATATTGTTTTCTGCAGCCCACTGAAAGATTTGGTTGATGTCCGCCTGGAGCCTTGCAGTGTTTGCAAGTATTGGTGGATAATATCTGCTGGATAATAGGATATCTGTCCTCTGTCAAGGCTTTAGAAGCGAGTTTAAGGAACTGTCTTTAGGTACACCGCAGGGAGGAGTTCTCAGTCCCATGCTATTTAATATTCTGATTAATACTTTCCTAAATGCTCTACCTGTCTCACCTAGACATATAGCTATAAGCTATGTTGACGACATCATGATCCATACAACAGGGCATAAGATGAGCACCATTATTAATGAAGTTCAAGCAATTTGTAATCGATTACGCCTCATAATATCTTCCTCTAAAACTAAGATATTAACAAGCAAACGACATCCCCCACCCATCTATTTGCAGGGTGAAATCATTAGCTACGTTAAAACTTACAGATATCTTGGTGTAGATGTACCCTTTAACAAATCCACTATACCACAACTAAACAAGAAATGCAAAGCTAGGCTAAATGCTCTCAAAGCTGTTGCTGGCTACAATCCCAACTATGGTGCTAATGTGAGAATCGTGAGAATGATGTACATAGCCTATGTTAGGTCCTTAATTGATTATGCTGCTCCCATGTTGACATTAGCTAGAGAAAGTTCTCTCCAACTCTTGGAGTTAATGCAGAATGAAGATTGGTTACAAGTTCTGTCTTGAGCTTCAACCAGTCACTGACAGTACTCCACAGTACTCGCTCCCATCTTGTTTCTCATCCTCATATCTGACATAGACAAGGATGTCAGTCACAGCACCGTGTCATCCTTTGCAGATGACACCCGAATCTGCATGACAGTGTCTTCCATTGCAGACACTGCAAGGCTCCAGGCGGACGTCAACCAAATCTTTCAGTGGGCTGCAGAAAACAATATGAAGTTCAACGATGAGAAATTTCAATTACTCAGATATGGTAAACGTGAAGAAATTAAAACTTCATCAAAGTATAAAACAAATTCCAACCACACAAAAGAACGAAAAACTAACATTATTAAAGACCTGGGAGTGATCATGTCGGAGGATCTCACCTTCAAGGACCATAACATTGTATCAATCGCATCTGCTAGAAAAATGACAGGATGGATATTGAGAACCTTCAAAACTAGGGATGCCAAGCCCATGATGGCACTCTTCAGGTCACTTGTTCTATCTAGGCTGGAATATTGCTGCACACTAACAGCACCTTTCAAGGCAGGTGAAATTGCTGACCAAGAAAATGTACAGAGAACCTTCACGGTACACATAACAGCGATAAAACACCTCAGTTACTGGTAATGCTTGAAGTTCCTCAACCTGTACTCCCTGGAATGCAGGCGGGAGAGATACATGATTATATACACTTGGAAAATCCTAGAGGGACTAGTACCAAACTTGCTCACAAAAAATCACTCCCTATGAAAGCAGAAGACTTGGCAGACGATGCAACATCCCCCCAATGAAAAGCAGGGGTGTCACTAGCACGTTAAGAGATCATACAATAAGTGTTAGGGGCCCAAGACTGTTCAGCTGCCTCCCAGCATACATAAGGGGGATTACCAATAGACCCGAGCAGCAGAGCACGATCTTTAGGGACGACATTTCGTTCACAGTGGATTTTATCAAATCAAATTCAGGCTTACCTGGAGAGGGTTTCGGGGGTCAACGCCCCCGCGGCCCGGTCTGAGACCAGGCCTCATGGTGGATCAAGGTCTGATCAACCAAGTTGTTCTTGCTGGCCGCACGCAAGCTGACGTACGAACCACAGCCCGGTTGGTCAGGTACTAACTTTACGTGCCTGTCCAGCGCCTTCTTGAAGACAGCCAGGGGTCTATTGGTAATCCCCCTTATGTATGCTGGGAGGCAGTTGAACAGTCTTGGGCCCCGGACACTTATTGTGTTGTCTCTCAGTGTACTCGTGACACCCCTGCTTTTCATCGGGGGAATGTTGCATCACCTGCCGAGTTTTTTTTATTTCATATGGAGTGATTTTCGTGTGCAGGTTTGGTGCCAATCCCTCCAGGACCTTCCAAGTGTATATTATCATGTATCTCTCTCGTCTGCCTTCGAGGGAATACAAATGAAGGACCTTCAACCGTTTCCAGTAGTTTAGGTGCCTTATCGTACTTACATGTGCCGTGAAAGTTCTTTGTACACTCTCCAGGTCTGCAGTGTCGCCAGCCTTGAAGGAGGCAGTTAGTGTACAGCAGTACTCCAGCCTAGAGAGAACAAGCGATTTGAAGAAAATCATCATGGGCTTGGCGTCCCTAGTTTTGAAGGTTCTCATTATCCATACTATCATTTTCCTAGCAGATGAAGTAGATACATTGTTGTGGTCTTTGAAGGTGAGATCCTCTGACATTATCACTCCCAGGTCCTTCACATTACTTTTCCGCTCTATTGTATGGTTAGAATTTGTCGTATACCTTGATACATTTTTAATTTCTTCAACTTTCCCTTATCTGAGTGGTTGAAATTTCTCCTCGTTGAACTTCATATTGTTTTGAGTGGCCCATTCGAAGATTTGGTTGATGTCCGCTTGGAGTCTCGCGGTGTCTTCGATGGAGGTCACTGCCATGGTAATCCGGGTGTCATCCACAAAGGAAGACACGGAGCTATGGCTTACGTCTCTGTCTATGTCAGAAATGAGGATGAGGAATAGAATGGGAACGAGTACTGTGCCTTGTGGAACAGAGCTCTTCTCTGTAGCTGCCTGAGACTTTACTCTGTTTACTATTACTCTTTGTGTTCTATTTGTCAGGAAGTTGTAGATCCATCTACCAACTTTTCCCGTTATTCCTTTATCACGCATTTTGTGTGCTGTTACACCATGGTCACACTTGTCGAAAGCTTTTGCAAAGTCTGTCAATACTACATCTGTATTTTATTTATACTCTGCAGCATCCAGGACCTTGTCATAGTGGTCCAGTAGCTGGGACAGGCAGGAGCGACCTGCTCTAAACCCGTGTTGCCCTGGGTTGTGTAACTGATGGGTATCTAAGTGGTTGGCAGTCTTGCTGTATACTGTACTTGTGTCTCTTCTTTTGTTCCCTCTTCTTTTTCCCCCATAACCTCTTTCTGTTTCTCTTCTTCTTGTTTGCTTCTGGGTCCCACTTCCTCAGTGATGGACACAATCGTATCTGTGTGTTCTCAGAACTACCTGACTTCCATGACTGACTGACTGTCTCTGTATCCTCAGCACCATGATTGATTGACTGTCTCTGTGTATCCTCAGCACCATGATTGACTGAGTGTCTCTGTGTGTCCTCAGCACCATGATTGACTGACTGTCTGTGCCCTCAGCACCATGACTGACTGACTGTCTGTGTCCTCAGCACCATGATTGACTGACTGTCTCTGTGTCCTCAACACCATGGTTGACTGAGTGTCTCTATGTGTCCTCAGCACTACCTCATGATGGTTGAGTCCACCGTCAGCATCCCATACCTCCTGACTCCCATAATGTGCATGGCAGTTACTGACCCAGCCAGAGGTGCCATCGCTTCTACCATCATCTTCGTCAGTGGAATGATCACTCTCCTACAGACCGTCTTCGGGGTGAGGTTAGTCTGCTGGGAGGTCACAGGTCACCATCAGACTTGCCACACCTCCACAATTAGTTCTGTAAAGCAATATAATGGAAATAATTGTCTGTATATGGTGCGAATTAAAGATTTTTATTTATCTTTTTCTCTGCTTTGTATCCTACCCTTCCCCCGCCCTCTTTCTCTCCATATCCTATCCACCCTTTCTACCTTCCTTCTTCATACATTCCTTCTCATATCCGTCATCCTTCCCCACTCGTCCTCTATCTCTACATGTCCTTCCCTTCTTGCCCACGTCATATACTTCCTCCATCCCCTGCCACAGGCTGCCCATCGTGCAGGGTGGCACGCACGGGTTCATGGGGCCCACCCTGGCCATCCTGGCACTGATGCCTTGCCCACCTGAAGAGGAGTTGGAGGCACTCAGTTACGACCAGAGAACACAAGTGTGGCAGACCCGCATGAGGGAGATACAAGGTGCCATCTGTGTAGCTGCTGTCTTCCAGGTCCTGGTGGGATGCACAGGTCAGTGTATGTACTTATCTATATGTGATTGCAGGGGTAGATTCACAGTTCCTGGCCCTGTATGTGTATGTGTGACGGGTGATGTTATAGTGTTTTGTGTGTGTGTATGTGTGACGGATGGTGTTATAATATTTTGTGTGTGTATATGTGTTTGATGGGTGGTGTTTCAGTGTTGTGTTGTGTTACAGGTGCGGTGGGAGCACTGCTGCGATGGATATCTCCACTGGTCATCGTCTCCACCATCACACTAATAGGCTTCTCCCTCTTCAAAGTGGCAGCTGACAAGGCGTCTTCCCACTGGGGCATCTCCTGTCTGTGAGTCTCTGTCTCTCTCTCTGAATACACTGAACATAGTATGGGTGTTAGAGGCACTGTTGACACTTACTTTCTTGTGTTGCAGAACCATAGTGTTGCTGGTAGTGTTTTCACAGTACATGAGTGAGGTACCAGTATTGGGTCTTACCTGGTCCAGGACCAGGGGCTTCACCAGGATCAACATCTACCTCTTCAAGCTCTTCCCAGTAAGTTATCTCTGGTTAGGTACGGGAAGGAACTGCTGGGGGGAACCGCTGGGGGGAACCGCTGGGGAAACCGCTGGGGGAACCGCTGGGGGGAACCGCTGGGGGGAACCGCTGGGGGGAACCGCTGGGGGGAACCGCTGGGGGGAACCGCTGGAGGGAACCGCTGGGGGGAACCGCTGAGAGAACGTGCAAACAAATGATGGTGTTGGCGGTACTGCTTCCCTCCAGACCAGACCTTCCATAGTAGAAGTAATAGTACTAATACTAAGAACATAAGTATATTAAGCAATGACTATGATAGGTTTTCGAGAGGCAGCCGCTACCATAAATCCCATCAAGACACTATAGCTTCAACGACGCTACTTGGCAATATATTCTCCTTATTTACAACATAACATATATACACTATATGTACACAGGAACTTATCTATATTGATATTATTCTTTATGACCGTCTTGGTGACATATTGTACCATACTTACATAGTCTGTGTTTATACCAGTGTTCCAGTTGTACACAACAGTACATCTTTCATACTGTGTCATGTAAGAGTAATGTTAGAGACGCTCATTCTCTCTTTGTACCTGGAGTTTTACCTGGAGAGGATTTCGGGGGTCAACGCCCCCGCGGCCCGGTCTGAGACCAGGCCTCGTGGTGGATCAGGGTCTGTACACAATCATTATTAGGCACGAGATTAACAATACGTCTAGCATACATAACCTTAAAAAAAGAAAACATTACCATAGAGTGGAATTGAAACAATCGTGGGTGGTAGAAGCTGAACGTAGAGTGGGAGGAGAGAATGCTGTTTATTTTTATTCCTATATTCATCTTTCAGGAGAGATTGTGCAGCAGTTAGGCAGCAACAGTTTACTGTACCCACTAAATAACCTTAATTCCCTCACCTCCCCATGTTCTCTTTACGTTTATCTTCCACCCTAGTTCCCCCTCTCACTTCCTCTTCCTCTCTTTACTTCCCACCTTTCTCTCTCTCTCTCTCTCTCTCTTTCTCCCAACCTCGCTCACTCACCTGAGGTCTCCCTGCAGGTGTTGCTGGCTGTGGTTGGTGCCTGGGTGACCTGCTGGTTGCTGACAATCACTCAGGTGTTGCCTGCAAACAACCATGCCAGAACTGACCTTAGACTCAACATCATTACCGAATCACCCTGGATTCGCGTCCCCTACCCTTGTAAGTACCTCTGTTAGCGTCCCCTACTCCTGTAAGAACCTTTGTTAGCGTCCCCCAGTCCTGTAAGTACATTTGTTAGTGTCTTCTACCCCTGTAAGTACGTTTGTTAGTGTTCCATACCCCTGCAGGTACCTGTGTCATGTTCCCTATCCTTATAAGTATCTTTGTCAATGTCCCCTACCCCTGTAAGTAGCTTTCCTAGTTTCTATATCCCTGTTAGTATCTTTGATACTGATAAATGGTTTTGAAAACCGACAAGTTGAAGAGTTTAGTTTTTAGTTTAATATGTTTATTATGCACCCCATCAAGTTGAAGATTGAGACACTTATGCAACATATGGGAATCTTTATTAAGAAAACGTTTCGCCACACAGTGGCTTCATCAGTACAATACAAAGTAGAAAGGGATTAGGAGAGGAGGAGTTTGATGTAATCAGTCCCTCAGCCTAGAATCGATGTGTTCAGTCCATTACTCTTGTAGAAACTGTAGCATATGGCCCGAGAAGTGGCTTATATACTGTAGTCAGTCGAGTCGAAGGGGGATGAGGCGGGGTCATAGTGGAACCATCCACTAATCTAATGGGATCTTGATACAAGAAATTCGTTAATACTTGTCCAACCTTTGGACGAAGACCTACTTAGATTAGTGAATGGTTCCACTATGATCCCGCCTCCTCCTGCTTCGACTCACCTGACTACAGTATATAAGCCACTTCTCGGGTCATATGTTGCACTTTCTACAAGAATGATGGACTGAACACATCGATTCCAGGCTGAGGGACTGATTACCTCAAACTTCTCCTCTCCTAATCCCTTTGTACTTTGTACTGGACTGATGAAGCCACTGTGTGGTGAAACGTTTCCTTAATAAAGATTCCCATACGTTGCATAAGTGTCTCAATCGTCACCTTTTATAGTGTTCTATATCCCTGTTAGTACCTTAATTAGTGTCCCGTACCCCTGTAAGTAACTTTGCTAGTGTCTCCTGTAAGTAGCTGTGTCAGCGTTCTCTAGCTTTGGGTGATATAATTTGGAGTGTTCAACAGGTCAGTGGGGAGTACCCATTGTGAGCCTGGCTGGTACACTGGGCATGCTGGCTGGTGTCCTGGCTAGCATCGTCGAGAGTATTGGAGACTACTTCGCCTGTGCCAGACTGGCAGGTGAGTTTTACTAGTGCCGCTGCATGTTCTGCTGTTGTTGTTGCTGCTCCTGCTGTTACTTCTGTTGTTATTGTTGCTACTGTTACTACTGTTGTTGCTGCTCCTGCACATTTTCCTCTTCTAGCTATTGTTTTCAACACTGTACCTGTTGTTCTGTTTCTGCTCACCTTCCTTGATAAACAATCCATATGTACTGATGAACTCATTATGGCGTAGCTGTCAGCCAGATGTATGGCGTGGCACGACCCATGTCTGTGTAGATAACAATACCCCTGGCTACAGCATTACAACAGTATCCTACCTACAAGAATTCTATGTTAGTACGTGTGTGCGTGGGGTCGGTTAGACTGGACTTAATTAAGATATGACTAACAGTGCAGTTCCCTATATAAACTAACCTTTGAGTCATAGAGACACTGTAACAGCTTGCTCGAGCAGTAGGAAGATCGATTCAGCAAACAGCAATAATGCTGGAAGCAGCAGTGAACAGCACAACGTTAGACAAGAGGAAAGACCAAACAATTTACTCTAACTGAAGACAGTCAGTAAGTTCTCCATATAAGGCAAAACAAAATACCCTTATTACTGAAACCGAGTTCAGCAAACCCCGACAATGATGTTGCTAGTTTAATATGTTTATCATGCACCCCATACCCATTCTGTGGGTGGTAGTCACCCCATACCCATCCTGTGGGTGGTAGTCAAAAGATTACAGAGTTACATGAAGGGTCCAGGGACTGGACCCCAAAGTTATGATAGCTGAGCGACCATGACGGTGAATGTATTAGCAAGACTATTAAGTTTATCCAGGTACATTGTGGGATTTTTAAAGCAGAGGGTTAGCCAACAAGGAAAACCGGGATGCCACCCACACCAGACCACTAACACCCAGGTACCTACTTACTGGTAGGGGATCAGAGGCAGCAGGTTTTAAGGAAACACGCCCAGCATTTCCTCCTGTGAAGGGGATCAAACCATGGACACAGTGTGTGAGGCGAGAGCGTTATCAACCAAGCCACGGGAACAAGATTCAGGGACCTGAAGCACAGTGTCTCATCACACAACCTCAGAAAACATCAGGAATCACTAACTCTAAATGATGTTGTGTGAGCATAGTTGCACAGTAATGAGATGTATGCTCCGGCATACATCTCATGCCGGATTGAGTGATTTTCGTATGCTGCTATGTATGATAATTTACCCCTTTGACTCTTTGACTGTCAGCGTGCCTCGTTGTGCTCCCGGTTTTTCTGGTGTTTTCACGGTCGCTCTTACGTGCTAGAACTTTAATTTGTGTCATCAATCCTATACGATACATCCCTCTAGCGCCTGGAACCAATCTTGGGCGGAAAACATTATATACTGAGTCAAAAAAGGAGAATTAGTGTGCATTACCTAGCAGAGTTTACTGCCAGAGGGGAATCATAGGCCTGTTTTCCGTGTGAAAAAAATAATAATAATTGAACTTTGTGTCAGAGGAAAGAAAGTCTCCCTGAAAGCATTGAGTATACATAGTGTATAGTGTATACTACAGTGGCTCCCTAGTATATTGATGATAAAGGCTAAAGTGTCATTTGAAAACAGGTGAATTTGTAAATGAAGTGATAAGCCTATAGAGGCAGGTGCCAGAAGTCGCCAGAAACTTACCACAGGTCAGCTGTTTTTAATAATCTTCCTGGCCTGCTAGTGTACTCGCATATAATCTAGTGATACCAGTGAATAGCAGAATACAGTGTTGTAGTAGCAACTAACCAGTATTATAATGGTACTTAGTGGAGTGGAGTGACTTTCATTAGTTTCTTTTTCTTGAAATACGAGACGTTACTGTGAATTTCATATAACCTGTAGTTACCAGCGGTCGCAATATACACAACGAGAAGCAATTATTACTACAGAAAAAGCGTCCTTCCTCCAAAATTTGCACCAGTCAACTATAGTGATAATATAGCATTTATTGCGGTGGAGACGGAAAAAAAAAATAGAAAAGCCAGATACAGCGATTGATAAACAAGGAGGTGACCGTTCGTCATTGTAGGAGCTGCCAGATATCACCGGCTCTTCAACACGCAAGTTATACTTTTGTATCAGTCAAATCACATATTACTCGGGTAGATAATTTCCAGTAGATCCTTCATGTGTTAGCTCAAATCACCGACCAGTATGTTTTAAATAAGTGACCCACTGATCAGAGCAGATCGACTGGTCCGAACCCTTGACTGGTCCGAACCCTTGACTGGTCCGAACCCGGGACTGGTTTCAAACAGTTTCGTTGGACAATAAAGCAGACTGTAAACGGATGGGTTTGTAGGCGCCCTTATAAACACAAACATTAAAAATCAGGAACGTGACGGTAAGCTGTCCAATATACAAATAGAGTTAGAAACAGAAATACAAATAGCTAGAGCTTCATTTAAGGTTATTAATATAATATTCAAGAGGTTGCTAGTAGAATTGCAGTAAATCAACCATTCAAATCATTATGAAGCTGTGTGTAGTCTGTGGTCAGTCAAACAAACGGGCTTCCACATGGATAAATTGTCATTTTTGTGGAAATTGGTGTCACGCTCCTTGTGCAGATATCCCAGAACTAGCTACAAGCAGTATTAAAACAGAGAAGTGTTTTTGGGTATGCCCAAATGAGGAAAATCTGTGGACTAAAATCACAAGGGTATTAAAAGAGGATAACATCAAAGCTGCTTTCATAGAAAACCTGGAAGCTTTCTACAACAGATGGGAACATAAAAAGTCTGGGCTGAATGGTACTGCCCTTGATACTGGCCATGTAGTCACAAACTGTAAGGCTGGAGGTGATGTCCTGGTAGTCAGTAAATGTGGGGCTGATAGGGCTGTCCTGGGAGACAGTAATGGTGAAGCTGGAGGTGCTGTCCTGGGAGACAGAAATGGTGAAGCTGGAGATACTGTCCTGGAGACAGTAATGGTGAAGCTGGAGATTTTGTCCAGGTAGTCGGGAATTATACGCAGGAAGGAATACATATAAATGACCTCATAGAGGACAGGAGCCATAGTAGGGAAACAAGTGTAGTCAAAGATAAGATAAAACCAATATTGCAAACTAGAAATACCGCAGGAAATAGCAAACAAGAGGACTCCAATAGCAATAGTGAGGATAAATTACCAAAAACAACTGGTGGGAGCTCCATTGTTGGTGCTAGGGAGGATAGGAGTAAGACAGGGAAACATGCACCAACAGGGAATACAGTCACAGAAACCCAAGGCAAACGGAAACCAAGCCTGTGCACATACTATGCACTTGGTATCTGCTGGCATGGGAAATCTGGAAAAACAGATGGGACATGCAACTATGACCACCCTAGAAAATGTCATGCCCATATGACAACAGGAAAATGCAAACTCCCTTCCTGTAAGCTTTATCACCCTGAAATGTGTACCTCTTCAGTACAGGAAAGACTGTGCTATAACTTAAATTGCCAGGCATACCATCTAAAGGGGACAAAAAGATACAAAACATCCAGACCATGGGAAAACCTGGGTAGCCACAGCCACTCAAGAGGGAGAGGTTTTTTAGTGCCAGGAAGGAAAAAAAACTGGCAGGAAATGGCAGAAATCGTACACCAAATCCAGTCATTCCTGGAGTGGAACCACAGTCGATGGCCTCCACTCCAAACCAACAGATACAGATACTAATGCCGGAAAAAAAATCCCCCCCCAGTACCAACAATACCACCAGTCCGATAACATTCTTCTTTGCAAATATACAGGGTCTAAAGCCAGCAACAAACAACAAAATACCTTCATCCGTGGACTGCTTGCAGAGGCAAAGGCAATGTTCGCGGCTTTCACTGAGACCCACATAAAGGATCACTTGGACAACGAAATATGGATCCCAGGTTACAACCTATATAGATGTGACAGAGTGAACAGGCAAAAGGGGGGGGTTGGCCTGTACATTGCAGAGTCACTTGTTTGCACAGAACTGCTTAATGCCTCAAATGACGTAGTGGAAGTTTTAGCAGTAAAGGTCGAGAACCAAAACCTAGTCATTGTGGTAGTCTACAAGCCTCGGATGCAACATCCCAGCAATTCCAGGAACAGCTGTTAAAAATTGACCACTGTCTGGAAAATCTTCCAGCTCCTGCACCCAACATCTTGCTCCTGGGGGATTTCAACTTAAGGCACCTAAAATGGAGGAATATAGCAAATAATATTGTTGCAGTAATAACACCAGGAGGCAGCTCTGATGAAAACTCACACTCACACGAGCTTTTAAATCTCTGCACAAAATTCAATTTAAACCAGCAAATAATAGAGCCTACTAGACTGGAGAATACACTAGACCTCATCTTCACTAACAATGATGATCTGATAAGAAATGTCACCATATCAAAAACAATATACTCAGATCACAACATAATTGAGGTTCAGACATGTATGCGTGGAGCCCCAGACCGACAAAATGAGACTAGTCACGAGGGAGCATTCACCAAATTCAACTTCAATAACAAAAACATAAAGTGGGACCAAGTAAACCAAGTCCTAACCGATATAAGCTGGGAAGATATACTAAGCAACACAGACCCAAACTTAAGCCTAGAACAAATTAACTCGGTGGCACTCGATGTATGCACAAGGCTTATTCCTCTAAGAAAAAGGAGGAGTAGATGTAAAATAGAAAGAGACAGGCGCTCCCTTTACAGGCGACGGAAAAGAATAACAGAGCGGCTAAAAGAGGTCAATATATCTGAAATGCGCAGGGAGACACTGGTCAGAGAAATAGCAAGCATCGAACTTAAGCTAAAAGAATCCTTTAGGAGTCAGGAATCGCGGGAAGAACTAAAAGCCATAAATGAAATCGAAAGAAACCCAAAGTATTTCTTCTCCTATGCCAAATCAAAATCGAGAACAACGTCCAGTATTGGGCCCCTACTTAAACAAGATGGGTCCTACACAGATGACAACAAGGAAATGAGTGAGCTACTCAAGTCCCAATATGACTCAGTTTTTAGCAAGCCGCTAACCAGACTGAGAGTCGAAGATCAAAATGAATTTTTTATGAGAGAGCCACAAAATTTGATTAACACAAGCCTATCCGATGTTATCCTGACGCCAAATGACTTCGAACAGGCGATAAATGACATCCCCATGCACTCTCCCCCAGGGCCAGACTCATGGAACTCTGTGTTCATCAAGAACTGCAAGAAGCCCCTATCACGAGCCTTTTCCATCCTATGGAGAGGGAGCATGGACACGGGGGTCGTCCCTCAGTTACTAAAAACAACAGACATAGCCCCACTCCACAAAGGGGGCAGTAAAGCAACAGCAAAGAACTACAGACCAATAGCACTAACATCCCATATCATAAAAATCTTTGAAAGGGTCCTAAGAAGCAAGATCACCACCCATCTAGAAACCCATCAGTTACACAACCCAGGGCAACATGGGTTTAGAACAGGTCGCTCCTGTCTGTCTCAACTACTGGATCACTACGACAAGGTCCTAAATGCACTAGAAGACAAAAAGAATGCAGATGTAATATATACAGACTTTGCAAAAGCCTTCGACAAGTGTGACCATGGCGTAATAGCGCACAAAATGCGCGCTAAAGGAATAACAGGAAAAGTCGGTCGATGGATCTATAATTTCCTCACTAACAGAACACAGAGAGTAGTCGTCAACAGAGTAAAGTCCGAGGCAGCTACGGTGAAAAGCTCTGTTCCACAAGGCACAGTACTAGCTCCCATCTTGTTCCTCATCCTCATATCCGACATAGACAAGGATGTCAGCCACAGCACCGTGTCTTCCTTTGCAGATGACACCCGAATCTGCATGACAGTGTCTTCCATTGCAGACACTGCAAGGCTCCAGGCGGACATCAACCAAATCTTTCAGTGGGCTGCAGAAAACAATATGAAGTTCAACGATGAGAAATTTCAATTACTCAGATATGGTAAACATGAGGAAATTAAATCTTCATCAGAGTACAAAACAAATTCTGGCCACAAAATAGAGCGAAACACCAACGTCAAAGACCTGGGAGTGATTATGTCGGAGGATCTCACCTTCAAGGACCATAACATTGTATCAATCGCATCTGCTAGAAAAATGACAGGATGGATAATGAGAACCTTCAAAACTAGGGAGGCCAAGCCCATGATGACACTCTTCAGGTCACTTGTTCTATCTAGGCTGGAATATTGCTGCACTCTAACAGCACCTTTCAAGGCAGGTGAAATTGCCGACCTAGAAAATGTACAGAGAACCTTCACGGCGCGCATAACGGAGATAAAACACCTCAATTACTGGGAGCGCTTGAGGTTTCTAAACCTGTATTCCCTGGAACGCAGGAGGGAGAGATACATGATTATATACACCTGGAAAATCCTAGAGGGACTAGTACCGAACTTGCACACGAAAATCACTCACTACGAAAGCAAAAGACTTGGCAGACGATGCACCATCCCCCCAATGAAAAGCAGGGGTGTCACTAGCACGTTAAGAGACCATACAATAAGTGTCAGGGGCCCGAGACTGTTCAACTGCCTCCCAGCACACATAAGGGGGATTACCAACAGACCCCTGGCAGTCTTCAAGCTGGCACTGGACAAGCACCTAAAGTCAGTTCCTGATCAGCCGGGCTGTGGCTCGTACGTTGGTTTGCGTGCAGCCAGCAGCAACAGCCTGGTTGATCAGGCGCTGATCCACCAGGAGGCCTGGTCACAGACCGGGCCGCGGGGGCGTTGACCCCCGAAACTCTCTCCAGGTAAACTCCAGGTAACTATTTATGCGTGCTTACCTGCACCTGAATGAACTTACACGAGCTGAGAAGAGCGTTCTCCTAGACTCTCCCTCTTCCTGCCTCTCCTAGATAATTCCTAGAACTGCCCCTGAGATTATACATGTGTTGTGAATGTGGTCTTACCTTTCCTGGCTCCCTGAATGTAACAATACTTCAAGACAGCGTGGTACAGATCGTTCACACGCTGGGTTACATTCTCGAATATCGGCGCGTTATGTAAACAATACATTTATTATCATTCTATCATGCAGGAGGAGCCACATGTCTATGGTGCATCCAGCAAGATAAGCAGACTCTTGGATGTCACTACCGCCCGGCTCCGGCTGAGTTACAAGTATCTTTGGCAGGTTAAATCACCACCACCAGATGTAGACCAAACGAAATGTAAACTTTGCCAGATGGACTACTGTCACACCTTGCGTCATTATATACTTGAGTGCGATCAAATTGATGAACTCAGAAACAACTCACTCAGAAATATTCTAGAAATATCAAAGCATTTTGTCCAGAGTGGTATATTACAAACCATTCTGGAAAAATACCCTGACTTTGCTCACTGTATAAGCTAATATTTGTATTAATAACTCATTGTAATTGTTATCAGGAGTGGACATGTGAATGGTTCACTGCCTTTGTAACCTGTTCAGCTATCAAAACTTTGGGTCCCAGTCCCTGGACCCATTATGTACCTCTGTAATCTTTTCTGACTACCGCCCACATGATGGGATGGGGTGCATAATACAAATATTAAATTATGTAAACAATAGCGTTATGTGAAGTGAAGAACATAGGGAAGAAATGAGGTTACGTTCCTGGACTCAATAACCCCAATTCCTGATCTGATTTTCATTTAGGATCTGGAAGATGCATTTCCTTGTTATGTATAATTTAAGAGAGTGAGTGCTGAAGTATTAGTGTTACTGTTGAAAGTATTATTAAAGCAGCAGCATTACTGTTGTAAGTGCTATGTTAACCCACAGGAGCGCCTCCACCACCCAAACATGCTATCAACCGAGGTATTTGGATAGAAGGTCTGGGTACCATCCTGGCTGGGCTCTGGGGCACCGGTAGTGGTACTACATCATACTCCCAGAACATTGGTGCCATCGGCGTCACTAAGGGTACAGTATCCCGGGCTTAAATGTGCGTCATTGTGGTGCAGTATCCCGTTGTTGGCATCATTGTGGTAGAGTTCCGTTTGTTTGTGGGGCTTTGTGGTACTTTATCCCACCCTGATTGTGGGTCATTGTGGTCGTATCCCCCCTGATTGTGGGTCATTGTGGCCGTTCCCGCTTGTTTTGGGGGGTATTGGGGACTTTTTTTCCAGTTGATTGGGGCCTTGTGGCCGTACCCCGTTGATTGTGGCGTTGGGTCTTGTGGTACAGTATCCCAGCTTGTTGTGGGGTCATTGTGGTACTTTTTACCCCAGTTTGATTGGGGCGTCATTGTGGTACAGATCCCGCCGATTGGGGCGTTGGCGTCATTGTCACGTATCCCAGCTTGATTGTGGCGTCATTGTGGCACAGTATCCCAGCTTGATTGTGGCGTCATTGTGGCACAGTATCCCAGCTTGATTGTGGCGTCATTGTGGCACAGTATCCCAGCTTGATTGTGGCGTCACTGTGGCGTCACTGTGGCACAGTATCCCAGCTTGATTGTGGCGTCACTGTGGCACAGTATCCCAGCTTGATTGTGGGTCTTTTGTGGACGTACCCCCGTTTGTTGTGGCGTCATTGTGGCACAGTTCCGTTGTTTGTGGCGTCACTGTGGCGCACTGTGGCACGTTCCCGCTTGTTGGGGGGGTCTTTGTGGTCTTACCCCAGCCTGTTTGTGGCGTCATTGTGGTACAGTACCCCCCCTGATTGTGGGTCATTGTGGCAAGTACCCCAGCTTGATTGTGGGGTCATTGTGTACATTTTTCCCCGTTGATTTGGGCCCCATTGTGGCACAGACCCCAGCTTGATTGTGGCTTTTATGGCGTCATTGTGGTACGATCCCAGTTTGTTGTGGGGTCATTTGGTACATTACCCCAGCTTGATTGTGGCGTCTTGTGGTACATTTTCCCGGCCTGATTGTGGGTAGGGCGTATTGTGGCACATTTCCCCAGTTATTGTGGCGTCTTTGTGGCCCCGTACCCGCTTGATTGGGGCGTCATTGTGGTGCGTTCCCAGCTTGATTTTTGGGGGTCATTGTGGCCAGTTCCGCTTGATTGGGGCGTCATTGTGGACTTTACCCCAGCTGTTTGTGGGTCATGTGGCGTCACTGTGGCCGGTACCCAGTTGATTGTGGCGTCACTGTGGCCAGTACCCCAGTGATTGTGGGTCATTGGGTTTACGTACCCCAGGTTAATTTGGGGCCCGAATGATTGGAGAAACCTTGTATGAGACAGTAAGAACACTGGTCATGTGATGAAGGGTTTTTAAAAAACCGAAATTTGAAGAATTGGAACTTATGCAACACATGGGAACTTTTTTGAAAAAACTTTTCCCCAACAGTGGCTTCATCAGTCCAAATACAAAGTAGAATGGGTAAGGAGAGTAGAAGTATGAGGTATCCCCCTCAACTGGATTGTGTGTTAGTCCTCATCTTGTGAAGTGCAGCATAGGGCCAGGAGGTGGCTTATATCGCGGTGAGAAGGTTGAAGCAGGAGGGGGGCGGGATCTTAGGGGGACCTGCCACAATTAATGGGTCTCGTCCAAAGGTTGGGCAAGCGTTAAAGTCTTTTACCAAGTTTCTTTGATGTTGAGTGTTAAAGATGTGATGAATGGTTTTAAAAACCGACAATTTGAAAAATTGAGACATTTATGACCATGGGATCTTTTTTGAAGAAACGTTTCGCCCCCAGGGGGTTCATCAGTCCAATACAAGTAGAAATGGGAAAGGGAGAGTAGAAGTTGAGGTAACGCCCCTAACCCTGGATTCGATGTGTTCAGCCATCACTCTTGTGTAAGTCCCAGCATGGGGCCCAGAGGGGGTTATATATGCGGTGAGAAGAGTTGAAGCAGGGGGGCGGGTTTAGTGGGCCTGCCCAAATGAAAGTAGGTCATTTTCCAAAGGTTTGGGAAGCGTTGAAGTCTTTGTCCCAAGATTCCAGATGTTGCAGTGTCTGACAGATGTGTGAAGGGTTTGAAAACGAATTTTGAAGTTTGAGACACTTATGAACACAGGGGGAATCTTTATTGAAGAAACGTTTCCCCACACAGGGGCTTATCAGTCAATAAAAAGTAGAAATGGGTAAGGAGAGTAGAAGTATGGGGTAATCAGCCCTCAACCTGGATTCGATGTTTTCAGCCCATCACTCTTGTAGTAAGTGAGCATGGGGCCGAGAGGTGGTTTATATGCGGGGGAAAAGAGTTGAAGCGGAGGAGGGGGGATCTTAGTGGGACCTGCCACTAATGTAAGTAGTCATGTCCAAAAAAGGTTTGGGAAAAGCGTTGAAGTTTTGTCCCAAGTTTCCCTGATGTTGCAGTGTCTGCAGATGTGTGAAGGGTTTTTGAAAACCGACAAGTTGAAGATTGAGACACTTTGCAACACGGGGAAAATTTTTATTAAAGAAACTTTTCGCCACACAGTGGTTTCATCAGTCAATACAAAGTAAAAAGGGTAAGGAGAGTAGAAGTTGGGGGAATCAGTCCCTAAACCCTGGATTCGTGTTTTCGTCCTCACTTTTGTAGAAAGTGCAGCATAGGGCCAGGAGGTGGTTATATCGCGGTGAGAAGAGTTAAGAGGGGGCGGGATCTTAGTGGGCCCTGCCACAAATGAAGTGGTCATCGTCAAAGGTTTGGGCAAGGGGTTGAAGTCTTTGTACCAAGATTCCTGAATTTGGGTACAAAGTTTCAACGTTCCCCAACCTTTGGCGATGCCTATTACTTAGTGGCGGTCCCCAAAGACCCCGCCCCCCTCTTTTTCAATTTCTCACCGCAGTTATAAGCCACCTCTCGGGCCCCTATGCTGCACTTATAAAAGAGTGATGGACTGAAACCCCAATCGAATCCAGGTTGAGGGATGTTCCTCATACTTTACTCTCCTTCCCCATTTTATTTGTATTGGACTGATAAAAGCCTGTGTGGCGAAAGTTTTTTCAAAAAAAGTTCCCTGTGTTGCATAAGTGTCTCAATTCTTAAACATGGTACGTTTAAGAACCTGGTACAGTGAAGAACACGGGTACAGTTTAAAAAAACTGGTACAGTGTAAGAACACGGTACGTGAAAGAAACGGGTTTCGTGTAAAGAACACTGGTACAGTGAAAGAACAGGTACTTGTAAGAACATGGTACGTGGAACACCTGGGAAACCCCCTTAACACCGTTTGTTTACGAAAAAACCCCCTTTTGCTGTGCGTGTTCACCTGGCTTGCAGGTATCTTGAAATGCTGACATAACTGAGATACCTAGCAGTCCCAGGTCCCAAAGCAGTGCCGGGCAAAGCCACATTTGGGTCATGACTAAATGGTTCCCTGGTTAAATATGAAAAAGGGTATACAAATCCCATGGGGCAGCAGAAGCGTGTAGGTTTTAGGGCGAGTAATCAGCCCATCACTTTTGAGACGTGTTTGAGGTGGTCAGCCCCTCCCCTTGATTGATGAAGAAAAACCCACTTGTGCAAACACTTTGGAAAAACGATACGCAAAATGTTTTACATGTCTTTCCACTTCTTCCGGGTTCTCGAGGTCTTTTTTAATGGATTTTTGTGTTGACGGAAGGGAATATGTAAAAAGTTCATTTTCCTCTGTAACCTTTTTCAGCTATCAAAAACTTTGGGGGTCCAGTCCCTGGACCCATTTTGTCCTTGTAAGTTGATGTACGTCCCCGGACCCATTTTGTACCTCTGTAATCTTTTGCTACCCCCCGCAGGTGGGTATGGGGTGCTAATGAAAATATTAAATGAGTAAAATTGACAGGGGGGGAGCCGTCGGTGGTGGTGTACGTGCCTGTATCATGCTAGTGTGTGGGGCTGGTGGGAAGGGGGGCGCACTCTTTTTCATCGTCCCCGAGCCCATAAAAAAGGGGGTCTTCTGTGTGGTGTTCGCCTGATCCTTCCGTCGGCCTCTTAACTTCAGTCGTCGATCTCAAATCCTCAGGGAACCTTTGTACTTTGGGTTTTTACTCTTTCCCTTTGGATCGCCTTGCCGTGGTGGTGGTCTTTGGGTATATCTGGGAGAGGTTCGGGAGTCAACTCCCCCCGGCCCCGGGCTGTGACCCGGGGTATGGTGGATCTTGTACTGATCCGTCCTTTCCCTTACCTGTAGAAAACCATTTGTAAAAAAAAAAAAAATGTGAAAAAATAGTGAATTTCAAAGCGTTTTGTGATTTTTTTTTGTTCAAGCAACGGAGAATCACGAAAAACACTGGAAAAATTTCATTTTTTTTTCAGTGTTTTTTTTTTTTTCATATTGTGATACCTTGTTTTCCCTAAACTTATTGCAGATCATGCATGTGTAGACTATCTTTCTGCTAATTGCTTTGGATACCCCTGAGCAACCTTCTGCTAATTTCAAAATATTTAATACCAACAAGATGAATTAGACTCAGTGCAACATCTTGGTTCTTGTAGCGTTCCCCCATCAGTGGTTTTTATTAATACAAAACAGAAATTTTACAAGTAAAAATACCCGAGTTGCACCGGTCTAATTCATCCTCTTTTTGTTAAAACGTGGATGCAGAAACCAGAGAACCTCCTCATCCCGAAACCGTGCCCTTTTGTCGACCAGGTACTCCAGTGCTGCTCAAAACCTTTTATGGGGGGCTCTTGGCCTTATCCTCGAAAACTGTACCTGGTAGGTCCCCCTTTTAATGCCCGTCTTTCGCTGCCTCTGGTAAATCCTGTCACCCTTGCCCGTCTTTAATCACCTGTAAGTCCCCCACTGCCCCCCTCTCTCTCTCTTGTCTCTTCGTGGTCCCTTCCCCCATGCCCCTCTCTCTATCTCCCGACAAATCCGTACCATCCCCGTCTATCTCTCGGGAAGACAATATGCAACGTTAGGTATCTTTTTTCGAAACGTTTCGCCTACACGTAGGCTTCTCAGTCGATACAGAAAAGTTTTAGAAGCAGAAAAATACTTAAAACGATGTAATCGTCCATCACCCCTTTAAGTTTTAGGTGGTCAGTCCCCCGTTGGAGAAGGATTGTTCCGTTGTTGAAACAATATGAAACATATTGTTTCAGAAAACGGGAACTGTCTTCTCCCGGTGAGGGACTGGGCCCCCCTCAAAACTTTAAGGGTGATGGACTGATTACATCGTCTTCAAGTTCTTCTGTTCTATAACTTTTCTGTATCGACTGAAAGAAGCCTACTGTGTAGGCGAAACGTTTTGAAAAAAGAACCTAACTGTTGAAAGTGTCTTACCCAAAAATCTGTCGGTATTTTATACCATTTCAATGTTCGTTATTCTCACTCTCTTCTGATTTTCGCCCGTTTTTTTCCCTTATCGGGAGCTGTGAGGTGATCTTTCTTCTTGATATGGATATCAATCGAGTAGCTTAGTGGTGGGGTGCTGAGGTTCGTCGCGGCCCCGGGGTCGACCTACAGCCCCGATATAGTCTCTGCCTGATACCAATAACCCGCCATAAAGGGAAGCTTACGACGACGTTTCAGTCCGACTTGGCCATTGACAAAGTCACACTGAAAAAGTCCCCAGTGTGGGCTTTGTCAATGGGGCCCAAATCGGACGAAACGTCGTCGTAAGCTTCTCTCTTTTATGTGCGGGTTTTTTTGTGTATGTTCCAGTCACGGTTTGTGCCTTTTTTTTTTTTATTGTCTCTGACCTGTGTCGTGTGTGCTTAATGAAATGACCTGTATTGACCTATGGGGGCCCCCCGGTACGTGGGGGAGCGAGGGATGATCAAATGGCAGTCAATATTCCCCCAGGGAAAAAGGGGGGCGAACCCACTTGATCTCCTGTTACAATTTCCCCTTTTGGATGAACGCCATCACCGGTATGTGTCCGAAATCCTCTTACTTATGTGTCCATATTTTTTTTTGTTGTGTTCAAGTGGGAGTTTTTCCTGTATGTTGTTCCGCTGTGCCTGCATCAAGTATTATCCCCCGTTGTGACTGTGCATGTGTTCTTCTCTAATAAATAAGAATATTACTCCCCTGTTTTATTTCACAGGTGGCGATGGGCGAGGCTAGTCCCATCCCGCCCACCTTACAGGGGGGCATCGTCAGAAAACCCAGTTGGCTCAGGGGATAAGTGGTGCCGGACCCCGGACATAAGTGGTGCCAGAGACCAGGAAAAAGTGGTGCCAGGACCAGGAAAGCTGGTGCCCGGACCGGCATAAGCTGGTGCCAGAGACCGGCTAAGCTGGTCCCGAGACCCCGGACTAAAACTGGTGCAGAGACCCGGACTAAACTGGTGCCAGGACCCGGCATAAGTGGTGCCAGAGACCGGACATAAGTGGTGCCAGAGACCAGGACATAAGCTGGTGCCAAAGGGCCCGGACATAAGTGGGGCCCGAGCCAGGACTAAAATGGGCCAGAGACCAGGAATAAATGGGCCAGGACCCGGACTAACTGGTGCCAGAGACCCGGCTAAATGGTGCCAGAGACCAGGACATAAACTGGTGCCGGACCCGGACTAAGCTGGTGCCAGAGACCGGACATAGCTGGTGCAGAGACCCGGAAAAAGCTGGGGCCGGCCGGCATAAGCTGGTGCCAGAGACCAGGAAAAAGCTGGGGCCCCGAGAGGTTTTAAAGGGGCCAGAGACCAGGACTAAGTGGTGCCCGAGCCAGGAAAAAGATGGGCAGAGACCAGGACATAAGCTGGTGCAGAGCCCCGGACATAAGCTGGTGCCAGGCCAGGAAAAAAGTGGTGCCAGGAAAGGACATAAGCTGGGGCCCGGACCCGGGCATAAGCTGGTGCCCGAGACCCGGACATAGTGGTGCCGAGACCCGGACATAAGCTGGTACCAGAGACGGACATAAAAATGGTTGCAGAGACCAGGCATAAGCTGGTGCCCGAGACCAGGACATAAGGGTGCCAGAGACCCGGAATAAGTGGTGCCCGAAAACAGGCATAACCGGTGCCAGAGACCAGGACATAAGCTGGTGCCAGAGACCAGGACATAAGCTGGTGCCAGAGACCAGGACATAAGCTGGTGCCAGAGACCAGGACATAAGCTGGTGCCAGAGACCAGGACATAAGCTGGTGCCAGAGACCCCGGACTAAGTGGTGCCAGAGACCCGGAATAAGCTGGTGCCAGAGACCCCGGGCTAAGCTGGTGCCGAGACCAGGACATAAGCTGGTGCCCGAGACCCCGGGAAAAATGTGCCAGAGACCCGGACTAAATGGTGCCAGGACCCCGGGCATAAACTGGTTTCCAGGAACCCCAATAAATGGGCCAGGGGACCAGGACAAAAGTGGTGCCCCGAGCCCGGGAATAAGTGGTGCCAGAGACCCCCTTAGCTGGGCCAGAGAACCCCGGGGACATGATGATCACAGAGGATGGTGCCCTTAGTGAAGGGTTTTTCACTGCTAAACCAACGTGTTCCATAACTACCATCCATGGTATGCCTCAATACCACCTAAGATGTCTTGGTACTGACTCCACAAAAACGTAGAGGTCATGAGTCTTCCCGCCCGAGGTGACCCCCGACTAAAGGGGCAAGGTCACTTTATTTGAGTGCAAGTCTTCCACATGATCATCAAAAATTTTTTGTAATAAAAAAATAAAAAAAAAAACGTCAGAATTTTTTTTTAATCCACTAAAAATGTGCCCCAAAAAAAAAAGTTTGTTTTTTCTCCTGATGGAGGTCAAAGCCTGCTTTACGTTCCCCGCTCATGATTACTAATGGCACCTTTTAGTTACTTCCCCGTTCAGTTTTTGCTTCATATATTTGAGCTTTGCTCCTGGCCCCCTCGTCCTATGTGAGGGGTATGATCACTACGTAGTTCCAAGGGGTTAAGTCTTAGCTCCTGGGCCCCCTTCCTGTGTGTGTATGTGTGTGGCGACGTATACGTGCGTGTGGCAGTGGAAATGTGTATGTGTGTATTGTGTGTGGTGTGGTGTGTGTGTGTGTGTGTGTGTTGTGTTGTGTGTGTGTGTGTGTGTGTGTGTGTATGTGTGTGTGTGTGTGTGTGTGTGTGTGCGTGTGTGTGTGTGTGTGTGTGTGTGTATGTGTGTGTGTGTGTGTGTGTGTGTGTGTGTGTGTGTGTGTGTGTGTGTGTGTGTGTGTGTGTACTCACCTATTTGTACTCACCTATTTGTGGTTGCAGGGGTCGAGTCGCAGCTCCTGGCCCCGCCTCTTCGCTGATTGCTACTAGGTCCTCTCTTTTCCCTGCCCCATGAGCTCCATCATACCTCGCCTTAAAACTATGTATGGTTCCTGCCTCCACCACATCACTTTCTAGGCTATTCCATGGCCTGACTACTCTATGACTGAAGAAATACTTCCTAACATCCCTTTGATTCATCTGAGTCTTCAACTTCCAATTGTGACCTCTTGTGTTGGTGTCCCATCTCTGGAACATCCCGTCTTTGTCCACCTCGTCTATTTCCCCGCAGTATTTATATGTCGTTATCATGTCTCCCCTGACCCTCCTGGCCTCCAGTGTCGTCAGGCCGATTTCCCTCAACCTTTCTTCATAAGACAATCCCCGTAGCTCTGGGACTAGTCTTTGTTGCAAACCTTTGCACTTTCTCTAATTTCTTGACGTGCTTGACTAGGTGTGGATTCCAAACTGGTGCTGCATACTCCAGTATGGGCCTGACGTAGATGGTGTACAGAGTCTTAAACGAATCCTTACTGAGGTATCGGAACGCTATCCGTAGGTTTGCCAGGCGCCCGTATGCTGCAGCAGTTATCTGATTGATGTGCGCCTCAGGAGATATGCTCGGTGTTATACTCACCCCCAGATCTTTTTCCTTGAGTGAGGTTTGCAGTCTTTGGCCATCTAAACTATACTGTGTCTGCGGTCTTCTTTGCCCTTCCCCAATCTTCATGACTTTGCATTTGGCAGGGTTAAATTCAAGGAGCCAGTTGCTGGACCAGGCTTGTAGCCTGTCCAGATCTCTTTGTAGTCCTGCCTGATCCTCGTCCGATTCGATTCTTCTCATTAACTTCACATCGTCTGCAAACAAGGACACTTCTGAGTCTATCCCTTCCGTTATGTCGTTCACGTATACCAAGAACAGCACAGGTCCTAGGACTGACCCCTGTGGAACCCCGCTTGTCACAGGCGCCCACTCTGACACCTCGTCGCGTACCATGACTCGTTGTTGCCTCCCTGTCAGATATTCTCTGATCCATTGCAGTGCCTTTCCTGTTATGTGTGCCTGGTCCTCTAGCTTTTGCAGTAACCTCTTGTGAGGAACTGTGTCGAAAGCCTTCTTGCAGTCCAAAAATACGCAGTCGATCCACCCCTCTCTCTCTTGTCTTACTTCTGTCACCTTGTCATAAAACTCTAGTAGGTTTGTGACACAGGATTTTCCTTCCCTGAAACCGTGCTGGTTGTCAATTATACACTTGTTTCTTTCCAGGTGCCCCACCACTCTCCTCCTGATGATCTTCTCCATGACCTTGCATACTATACACGTTAGTGATACAGGTCTGTAGTTTAGTGCCTCATGTCTGTCTCCCTTTTTAAAAATTGGGACTACATTTGCCATTTTCCATACCTCAGGGAGTTGCCTAGTTTCAAATGATGTGTTGAAGATCTTTGTTAATGGCTCACACAATATTTCTGCTCCCTCTTTAAGGACCCATGGAGAGATGTTGTCTGGTCCCACCGCCTTTGAGGTGTCAAGTTCGCATAGCAGCTTCTTCACCTCCTCCTTGGTTATATGTACCTCATCCAGCACTTGCTGGTGTGCCCCCCTGTTCTGATTTCTTGGAGTCCTACTGGTTTCCACTGTAAATACCTCTTTAAATCTTGTGTTGAGCTCCTGACAAACCTCTCGGTCGTTTCTTGTGAATTCCCCATCACCCTTCCTCAGTCTGATTACCTGGTCCTTGACTGTTGTTTTCCTCCTGATGTGGCTGTACAACAGCTTCGGGTCAGTCTTTACTTTTGATGCTATGTCATTTTCATATTGTCTCTGAGCCTCCCTTCTTATCTGTGCATATTCGTTTCTGGCTCTTCGGCTGATTTCTTTATTTTCCTGAGTTCTCTGTCTTCTGTACCTTTTCCATTCTCTAGTACACCTAGTTTTTGCCTCCCTACACCTTTGGGTGAACCAAGGACTCGTTCTGTTCTTCCCATTATTTCTGTTTCCCTTGGGAACAAACCTCTCCTCTGCCTCCTTGCATTTTGTTGCTACATAGTCCATCATTTCTTGTACTGGTTTTCCTGTCAGTTCCCTCTCCCACTGAATGTCTTGAAGGAAGTTCCTCATGCCTGAGTAGTTCCTCCTTTTGTAGTTTGGTTTTTCCCAGCCTATTCCTGCTACTCTCTCCACTTGGAGCTCAACTATGTAGTCGAAGCACAGAACCACATGATCACTAGCTCCCAGGGGCCTTTCATACATGATACCCTCGATGTCCGAACTACTCATGGTGTACTCACCTATTTGTACTCACCTATTTGTGGTTGCAGGGGTCGAGTCACAGCTCCTGGCCCCGCCTCTTCGCTGATTGCTACTAGGTCCTCTCTCTCCCTGCCCCATGAGCTCTATCATACCTCGCCTTAAAACTATGTATGGTTCCTGCTTCCACCACATCACTTTCTAGGCTATTCCATGGCCTGACTACTCTATGACTGAAGAAATACTTCCTAACATCCCTTTGATTCATCTGAGTCTTCAACTTCCAATTGTGACCTCTTGTGTCTGTGTCCCATCTCTGGAACATCCCGTCTTTGTCCACCTCGTCTATTCCGCGCAGTATTTTATATGTCGTTATCATGTCTCCCCTGACCCTCCTGGCCTCCAGTGTCGTCAGGCCGATTTCCCTCAACCTTTCTTCATAGGACAATCCCCGTAGCTCTGGGACTAGTCTTGTTGCAAACCTTTGCACTTTCTCTAATTTCTTGACGTGCTTGACTAGGTGTGGATTCCAAACTGGTGCTGCATACTCCAGTATGGGCCTGACGTAGATGGTGTACAGAGTCTTAAACGAATCCTTACTGAGGTATCGGAACGCTATCCGTAGGTTTGCCAGGCGCCCGTATGCTGCAGCAGTTATCTGATTGATGTGCGCCTCAGGAGATATGCTCGGTGTTATACTCACCCCCAGATCTTTTTTCTTGAGTGAGGTTTGCAGTCTTTGGCCATCTAAACTATATTGTGTCTGCGGTCTTCTTTGCCCTTCCCCAATCTTCATGACTTTGCATTTGGCAGGGTTA